ATTTGTTGTAGAGATGGGGTCTCACTTTGTTGCTCAGGCCTGTATTTTTCTATTTTACCTTCTGTTACTTTCCTACCTATCTTGTGTCATTGTCCAGTATTCCTCCAGTGTTGTAAAGAAGGAAGTCCATGAATGGGTGAGGTAGAGCATTGTAGGATCTTTTCTGGGCCTTTGAGTTGCCATTTGAAGAACTGCTCGAGTCCAAGGGAGGTTAATGGAGTAAGCGGCTTACATATAATGAAGGAATATGTATTTACCTTGATTTGGCTGTTACCTGCTTTAATTTTTTTTTCACCCTTCGAGGAGGGATTAGGACTGTGATAGTGAGAACTGGTCATCTCCTTTGTTTCTGGAATATTACGTGTATTACCACCAAAAAAAGAGGTCCACCCAACTGCAGCAGTCTTCCTAGTTGGTCCTTCATTTGTCCCTTACCTTGGAAAGCCTGTGACCTGGAAGCAACGCCTAAGGCCTGCAAACCTCTGGGCGAAGATACACTGCGGCCCCTTTAAGCTTTCAGTGTGTGGGGAAAGGGTAACTGGAGGGTGGGGCGGCCACTCTGACAGCGGGATCTGAGCCCCGCCCTCGGAGGAGGCGTTTCCCAGCGGCCCGCCGCACCAATGCTGCCGCCGCCGCCTCAGCCTGCCGGGTATTCCTGCTGATCGATCCTGTTCGGACCTTAGGTCCCTTGACCTCTCCCTTCCCAGGGAGCGTAAGTGTCAAACTGCGGGCGAGGGGCAAGCATCCCGCGACCGTGCTGGAAGTCCTGGTGGACTGTACTGGGGACTTTCCTGGCCTATCAGAGGCTAAGGCGGTGAAAGAGCGTAAACAATGCCGGCTGCAGTGAGCTAAAGCCAGGGCATCTGCTCTACTTCTGGGTGGTGACAGCAGCCGTAGTGTGCTTGTTTGGGTATGCAGTGGGTGAACAGTGCCCACGACCTGGGTTTGCCCCAGCCTGGTTCTTTCTTGGGGTTAGGAGAGGGTTGCTTTTACCAGAGTATTAACCCATTTGAGCTGAATGGGTGGAGCTGAATCTCTTGCTCTGGGCCTTGGATCCTTAGCCTGGTATTTGAAGACCTTGGTAGCTTTGGGATGAGTAAGCATTAGGTTTTCAGCCACCTTGGTACAGTCGAGCAGTAACTCTGAGTTGCCCTAGTTCTCAGCCAGGTTTAGCCTTCTGTCTGTCCAGAGGCCTGTGTTGGTATCCCCTCCCCCTTTTGGATATGTTGACAGTGATCATCTATTAGGAAGAGTCCAGTTAACCTTCTTTCCTGCTGATAGGAAGAGCACAATGTGAAAGAGATAGCTCTTTACCCTTCTCCCTCTTTGAAGGAAATTGTGGGAGGCCACCATCCCAAGAATAGGAAAACAAACACAACAAAGTTTGAGATAACCTGCTAGAAAACAGTTCAGATTTCTGGCCCCCTGGCAATGCAGAATATTCTAGCAAGAGGATAACACTTGTCCTTGTTAGTGGAAAATACCTGGAGACAGTGAGGTTTTTTTGATTTGAGAGAAAGTCTTGTCAGTTTTGCTACCTGCTACTTGGAGATGGGATTTTATCAGATTTTGGCTAAGCAATAAAAATTTTAAATTCTTTTTTTTTTTTTTTTTTTGAGACGGAGTTTCGCTCTTGTTACCCAGCCTGGAGTGCAATGGCGCGATCTCGGCTCACTGCAACCTCTGCCTCCTGGGTTCAAGCAATTCTCCTGCCTCAGCCTCCTGAGTAGCTGGGATTACAGGCATGTGCCACCATGCCCAGCTAATTTTTTGTATTTTTAGTAGAGACGGGGTTTCACCATGTTGACCAGGATGGTCTCGATCTCTAGACCTCGTGATCCACCCGCCTCGGCCTCCCAAAGTGCTGGGATTACAGGCTTGAGCCACCACGCCCGGCAAAATTTTAAATTCTTTATGACATTACATAGTTGTTATATTTCTTTAATCTAGGTGTCCTTCCTAGACATGGTTTAAGTAGATTTCTGGGCATGTATATGCATTTTTAAAATAATTTTTTTAATGACTCTGTCATGACACTTAGTAATCATTCAAAGGGGTTGCTTTTTAATGGAGCAGAATTTTTTCTCAAACTTCTATTAGAATCATTCTATGCTTCTGCAGTAGCATCTCCTTAGCCAGAAGTGAGAGTCCAGGAATGGTAATCATAGTTCCAGATCTCTTGTATTGTGATAGTAAAGAACTTTTGTAGGTCAAGAGCTTGAGAATTTGCCTAAAATAGTTGTACTGCCAATGCTTCTTTCTAAGTAGAAGAGAAAATAATGTGTATAGTAGCTCTGTAATTACTCTTACAGACTGTCAAAATACAGGAATTCAAACTAAAAAGACACCACACTTGGGCCCATGGGTTGTTGGGAAGAGATGTAGACTGGGAAGTGGGAGACATAGGTTCTGGGCCCAACTCTAATATTACTCATGACTTAATCTCTCTGTCCCTTATTTTTAACTGGTTGGTTAATGAGGAAATGAATAGATTTGGTGATCTCTTTTATGATGGGATATATAATGCCTGTTTAATAGGTGATTTGTTATTTATTTGAACACTAAACTGAAAAATCAGACAATTTGGAATTTATTCTAAGTTCTACCTTCATGTATAACCTTGAAAACATTTCTTAACCTCCAGTCTAAAAATAAACAATTACCTCTAAACCTTTTCAGCGACAGTGTGGACTGTATGGTATTTGAGCTCTTAGGAAGACATTTTTAGATCAATGGTATATGATTATAATATTTCTGTAAAACATATTTATTTTAGCTCGCCTCCTTGCCTTTTCCTTTGTTTTAGACTGGGATAAAATCTCCTGAGAGCCCTGAATAATTGAAATTTCTGAATATGTGTATTTAGTAGGGACTAGAGCAAATAAACCATAGCAAGCATTATATATAGCTCAAATTAATTTTATTAATGCTTTTCTTTGTTGGCAATTTTATTTGCTTTTTAGGCATCAGGCTCTACTGTTTAGCAAAAACTTGGTTTCTGCTGTTTATAAAATTAAGATCATCTGTTCAACCCTGTATGATACTCTAACTTTTTGAGAAACTTCCAAATGGTTTTTACACAGCAGCTAGACCATTTAGCATTCACAGTGGCTGGACCATTTGGCATTCAACTTTAAAAATACACAGATCTGGCCGGGCGCGGTGGCTCAAGCCTGTAATCCCAGCACTTTGGGAGGCCGAGGCGGGTGGATCACGAGGTCGAGAGATCGAGACCATCCTGGTCAACATGGTGAAACCCCGTCTCTACTAAAAATACAAAAAAATCAGCTGGGCATGGTGGCACGTGCCTGTAATCCCAGCTACTCAGGAGGCTGAGGCAGGAGAATTGCCTGAGCCCAGGAGGCTGGAGGTTGCGGTGAGCCAAGATCGCGCCATTGCACTCCAGCCTGGGTAACAAGAGCGAAACTCCGTCTCAAAAAAAAAAAAAAATACACAGATCTAATAATTTTTATTGTATTTTACAGAGATACCAGTATTCAGTTGATGGGGGTGAGGGGGGAAAGACTGGTCCTGAGTTTGAAAAGCACAGTTTGAGCCGGGCACTATGGCTCATGCCTGTAATCCCAGCATTTCAGGAGGCCAAGGCGGGCAGATCACAAGGTCAGGAGTTTGAGACCAGCGTGGCCAATATGGTGAAACCCCATCCCTACTAAAAATACAAAAAAATTAGCCAGGCATGGTGGCACGTGTCTGTAATTCCAGCTACTCCGGAGGCTGAGGCATGGAGAATTGCTTGAACCCGGGAGGCAGAGGTTGCAGTGAGCTAAGATCACACCACTGCACTCCAGCCCGGGTGACAGAGTGAGACTCCATCTCAAAAAAAAAAAAGAAAAAAGAAAAGCAGTTTGATGAACATGTGAGGTGTTCCCACTTTTTGACTATTACAAAGAACATTGCTATAACCATCCCTGTATAGGACTTCTGGTGTAATTTGCATCAGTTTCTAGACTATATAGTTAGGAATGGGTTTGCTGGATGGTAGGGCATTCTTATCTGATAATGCCATATTGTTTTCCAAACTGTTGTACTATTCTGTCTCCCATCATTGCTGTATTTGAGCGCCTGAGATTCTCTATTGACTTGGCTCCTTTAAATTACACTGCTGCTGTTTCATGGCCATCCTAGGGATATTGGAGAGAAGTCTTAATGAAAGTTCCTTCCACATATAGTAATAAGCTTTTACAATTCTTTCTCCAGGATATTTTCTTCTTTGTGATGGGAGGGAACAAGACGTGAAGGAAGAAGCATAGACTTTGAATCTTAGTTTAATTATGTTGGCAGGCTACTTAATCTTTGTGAGCCTAGTATGTAAAATGAGGAGAATATCTTTATTTCATGTAGATGATGTTAGTACAAAGTGAATTAGCATGTTTAAAAAGTACTTTGCACAGTACCTGATTCAGAATAGATACTACCAGAGTATTATATATTCAATAAGCAAATATTTATTGAAAACATATTTTATGTCAGGCCAAAACTAGGGATGGAGAATTAAGCAGGACCTTGTCTATGTTATTATAATATTGAAAAATTGGCCAGCCTGGGCGACATAGTGACTCCCATCTCTGCAAAAACTAAAAAAATTAGTTGAGCATGGTGACATGTCTATAGTCCCAAGCTACTTGGGACGCTGAGGCAAAAGAATTGCTTGAACGCAGGAGGTGCAGGTTGGGAGAATTGCTTGAGCCTGGGAGGTCAGGGTTGCAGTGAGCTGGGATCACACCACTGCACTCCGGCCTGGGTGGCAGAGTGAGACTCTGTCTCAAAAAAGAAAAAAATTGGAAACAATTTAAATGTCCAGTAGTAGGGTTGGTAATTATGGTAAATTCGTATAATGCAGTGCTCTGTAGACTTTAAACATCATATTCTCAAATCTGGGAAAATGTTTGTAATCATGTAAGAAAAATGTTATAAGAGGATTATGCTTCTCTTTTTCATATAATTTATATACTACATGCGTATTGAAAAAAACTGGGCTTCCTTCCGAGCCTCTCCCTTGGCCGCCGCGCGGGAGAGAGGCAGAGATGGCAGACGAGATCGCCAAGGCTCAGGTCGCTCGGCCTGGTGGCGACACGATCTTCGGGAAGATCATCCGCAAGGAAATCCCAGCCAAAATCATTTTTGAGGATGACCAGTGCCTTGCTTTCCACGACATTTCTCCTCAAGCACCAACACATTTTCTGGTGATACCCAAGAAACATATAACCCAGATTTCTGCAGCAGAAGATGATGATGAAAGTCTTCTTGGACACTTAATGATTGTTGGCAAGAAATGTGCTGCATATCTGGGCCTGAATAAGGGATACCGAATGGTAGTGAATGAAGGTTCAGATGGTGGACAGTCTGTCTATCACGTTCATTTCCATGTTCTTGGAGGTCGACAGATGCATTGGCCTCCTGGTTAGCATGTTTTGGGGATAATTTTCCCTTCTCTAGGCAATGATTAAGTTAGGCAAGTTCCAGTATGTTAAGTGGCACACTTATTTTTTGCCTGTGTATGGAAAGATTCACTAAATAATTTTAAAACTGGATACATAATAAAAGACATTGTTGCATGGTTAAAAAAAAAAAAAAAAAGAGAAAAAAACTGGAAGGAGTCAAGTGGATACATACTTTAGTGTTCATCATAGTTATTAGGTGGTGGTGAAATTGTGTTTTAATACTTACGTTTTTTCTGTAGTTACTAAATTTTCTGCAGTTAACACACATTACTTTTATAATAATGAAAAAAAGGTATTATCTAGATAGATAGCATAGGTGTGTTGGCTCACGATTGGTGGGATTGCTTGAGCCCAGGCATTCCAGATCAGTCTGGGCAATATAATGAGACCTCGTCTCTACAAAAAATTTTAAAATTAGCTGAGTGTGGTGGTGCACACCTGCAGTCCTAGCAACTCCTACCTATTCAGGAGGCAGAGGTGGAAGGATCTCTTGAGGCTGGGAGGCAGAGGTTGCAGTGAGCTGAGATTACGTCACTCCACTTCATCCTGAATGACAGAGCGAGGCGCTGTCTCAAAAAAAAAAGATAGGTAACATAAAGTTATTAAAAGGATGTTGACTATAAACCTCAATAAAAACAAATGGTTTATGGCCAGGCACAGTGGTTCACGCCTGTAATCCCAGGACTTTGGGAGGCTGAGGCAGGCGGATTAAGAGGTCAGGAGTTCAAGACCAGCCTGGCCAACATAGTGAAACCCCATCTCTCGAAAAATACAAAAATTAGCCGGGCGTGGTGGCACACACCTGTAGTCTCAGCTACTCAGGAGGTTGAGGCAGGAGAATCGCTTGAACCCAGGAGGCGGAGGTTACAGTGAGCTGAGATGGCGATATTGCACTCCTGCCTATGTGACAGAGTGAGACTCTGTCTCAAAAAAAAAATGGTTTGCATAAAGAATATGTATAAAAGTTCATTCAGGGATTTAATTTTGTACTCATTTATGTGAACATTGATTGGTCATGTTTGCTAGAATTGGGTAGGGAGCTTGGTAGGATCAACATTTTTCCATATTGATTATTTTCTGTAAGTAATTTTAGGTGAAAGTATGACTTTTCTCCAAAACTTTTTTCTTGGCCTTTTAAAAGGCCAAATAGCTCAGCAATTCAGCTTTATTCTAGCTTTGTTTTATATCTAAGAAGTTCCATTTGGGAAAATAGAAGCATCATTTTTTAAAAAACAGATTTTGGGGTTTTCTTGAGACAGGGTCTTGCTCTGTTGCCCAGGCTGGAGTGTAGTGGCATGATCACAGCTCACTGCAACCTCTGTCTCTTGGGCTCAAGTCATCCTCCCACCTCAGCTTCCTGGGTAGCTTGTACTACAGGCACACACTACATGCCTGGCTAATTTTTGTATTTCTAGTATAGATGGGTTTCACCATGTTGCCTAGGCTGGAATATTTTTATATTTATATTTATATTTAGATTTTTTGAGTGACTTTATTATTTATTTTCTTTTTCTCTCGCTGCTGTACCAGTGCAATTTATTTATTTTTTTGAGATGGAGTCTCACTCTGTTGCCCAAGTGGGAGTGTAGTGGCATGATCTCGGCTCACTGCAACTTTCACCTCCAAGGTTCAAGCAATTCTCTTGCCTTAGCCTCCCGAGTAGCTGGGACTACAGGCATGCGCCACCATGCCCAGCTAATTTTTGTATTTTTAGTAGAGATGGGATTTCACCATGTTGACTAGACTGGTCTTGAACTCCAGACCTCAGGTGATCTGCCCACCTCAGCCTCCCAGAGTGCTGGGATTACAGGTGTGACCCACTGTGTGCAGTCTTCTGAGTGTTTTTTTTTTTTTTAAAGTTGTATTAATTGAATTAAGTGGGCATCTGACTAAAGAATGAGATTTTTACTCTGCTTGTTGCATGACTAAGATAATAATCTAAGAAAAGTTATTTTTGTCTTAAGAGACTGCCTGATTGCTGGAGTAAATAAGTATCTACCTTTATCTGACCAGATTCTTTCTTTTAATTCTAAGGAAAACCTGGAAGCACAATGGGAGATGACAGTGAGTGGTTGAAACTGCCAGTTGATCAGAAATGTGAACACAAGGTAAGACTCTTCTGGAATTTGATTTTCAATGTCATTGGCTTGTTTTGTTAGCACTTACACTATCATCTTTCTTAGAAGCCTGTGAAAACATTAGCAGTTTCAGAAATACTGATGCTTCGTTAGATATATGTTACTTTTTCTAATTAAAAATAGGTTTCTCTAGCTCAACTAAAAATTTTTTTGAGTCTCTGGAAATAATTCAAAGAAAATATATTAGTGAGAAGTAAGTGGTATCTGTAAAAAGTTAGTGACGGTCTAGTTTTGTCATCTCCTTCTGTATACAGTACAATATACTTCTGGTACCTAAATGCTTATTAATATTTTATTAGAGACTCTTCTTTGGAGATGTGTTATGAATGTGGCCTTAGAACTCCAGCATTTTTTAGGTTCTTTGGTCTATATAATCTGGATTCCAATATCTACCCTCAGAATCTACCTGTCTTTCTTTTCTAGTTTAAGCTAACAAGAGACAGTTTATCATATCATGTCATTATTTGATGGGTATCCTTTCAGATTATCTTATTTTTTTCCCTAACTATACCTCTAGTTTCTTTCATTTTTAATCATTTTGAAAACTACAAATATCTACCATTTGGTAGATTTTAGAATTCCATTTCTTTTTGTAAATTTATTCTACTGAAAGTCCTCAGGTTAACCACTGTATGTTCTTTTTTTTTTTTTTTGAGACGGAGTTTCGCTCTTGTTACCCAGGCTGGAGTGCAATGGCGCGATCTCGGCTCACCGCAACCTCCGCCTCCTGGGTTCAAGCAATTCTCCTGCCTCAGCCTCCTGAGTAGCTGGGATTACAGGCACGTGCCACCATGCCCGGCTAATTTTTGTATTTTTAGTAGAGACGGGGTTTCACCATGTTGACCAGGATGGTCTTGATCTCTCGACCTCGTGATCCACCCACCTTGGCCTCCCAAAGTGCTGGGATTACAGGCTTGAGCCACCGCGCCCGGCCCACTGTATGTTCTTGACAGTTCTTTTACAGTTTGTTTTGAATCTGAGTATTCAAGATTTATGGTTGTTAATTACTAAAAATACTGAATAAAACATACTAACCTGCACAGTTGTATACATACAGTTCTACCTATGTCGAGTAGAAATTTGGAGCCATGGTTCCTATATTCTCCACAGAACCACTCCTTCATCCTATATAATAAATTAGCCGAGGCTGAATACCATTTCAAAAATCAACATGTAGCTCTTCAAATAAGGCCAGGTTAACAGTGAGCTAATTGGTTTTTTTTTTTTTTGAGACGGAGTTTCGCTCTTGTTGCCCAGGCTGGAGTGCAATGGCGCGATCTTGGCTCACCGCAACCTCCGCCTCCTGGGTTCAGGGCAATTCTCCTGCCTCAGCCTCCTGAGTAGCTGGGATTACAGGCACCTGACACCATACCCAGCTAATTTTTAGTATTTTTAGTAGAGACGGGGTTTCACCATGTTGACCAGGATGGTCTCGATCTCTTGACCTCGTGATCCACCCGCCTCGGCCTCCCAAAGTGCTGGGATTACAGGCTTGAGCCACCGCGCCCGGCCGGTTTTTATTTTAATTAGCATAGAAATTGTTGGTATGTAGTACATTAAATTGTAACAAAACAAATTTTGGGGAGAATTTTGGAATATACTCAGAATCATAACTATGTATAATGCTTTTCTTGGTAGATAATATATTTTCTCACTGAAAGGAGCAGACAAAATAGATAAATCTGTTACAGATTTTCCAATTTTTGATTGGTTAATATGTGCTAAGAGTTTTTCAGTCTTACGTGATTTGGTACTTTTTTTTTGAGCACTTATTATGTGTTTTTGAAACTTAAAGACTAGAGATGTTAAATCTGGTTTAGGGAACACTCATTCTGCTTTATAGAATGAGATGTTGCCCAATTAAAAAAATAAACAAACCTTGTTTAAATTGGTTAGTAAATGTACAAGTATGATGTTAATTTACGTTATACTTCACTCTAATGTTGCAGAATAGGTAATGCCTTCTTCCTTATGAAAGCATCTTATAGTGGGTTAGGAAGCATTCTTTCCTTAGAAGGAGCAGTTTTTTCTGTGAGCATAACACCTGCCCCAAATTACATTTTCATTTAAGCAAATAACGTAAATTATTTGTTTTTCAATCATATATCGAGCCTTCTGTCTCTGTGATTTAATAGTGTTGAGGACAAACATCTAATTCTTTACTAATGCCTAACACAGTAAATACAAATTTGATCATCCCATAAACTAGCATCTCACTTAACTCCTCCCACATCATTTCATTGCTTTCCCATTGCTCTTAGAATAATGAGTGGAATCTTTATTTGGCCTTCATAGTCCTGCATGGCCTGGCTTTTTCCAGCTCATTTTGTACCATGCATGCTCCCTTTCTCTTTCTTTATAGGAGTGGGAAATTCCATATTCCTTGCTGCCATAGGGCCTTAGAGTATACTGTTCCTTCTGGAATGTTCTTTCTTCCCCTTTGCTACCTTTCCTATTTATCTTTTAGGGCTCAGCTCAGTTACCAGTTTCTCAGGAAAATTTTTCTTAACACTAAGACAGACTAAGCCTTTTATAATACACACTTTCATAGCACCAAGTTTCTTCTCCTTTGTAGTATTTAATGGTTTCTTAATTTTAAACGTATTTGTATGATTGCTTAATGTCCCCTCCTACTGCAGTATAAGCTCCACAAGGGCCAGAGCGGAATTGATTTTTATTTACTAAACACCTGTTGAATAAATTAATGAAGAAAGAATACCTTAGTAAAAATGTCTGAAATCTACTAGCTGAAATTAATATACAGTATAGTATAAAGCTGCCTAATGATTATACAAAAATAGAACCAAAAAACAGCATGTACTTTGGAGATAGGGCAGTTTCATCAGGGTGATTTCTCATGTTTTAGTTGTCACATCTTTAATATCATATTCTAAAGAAATAATAACTAATTTTTAGATACAATGTGAGAGTCATTTTAATGGCCTATTATGAATTTTAGGTGGCCTTGGGAGAGTATCA